ATCATGTTTTTTTATAAAGAAAATAGAAGAAATAATTAATTAAGTATAAAGTTTTAATTAAAACATCATGACATTAGACTATCTTTTTTCTTTTAATTTTAATATATTTTAGTGGATTTGTAGCATTTCATATTTTCTAGTCGATAATGATCGTAAAACATCATACTCATAAAGTAGAAACATGGGTGCACTCTTATGAATGTGAAAAATATACGAGATTATTTGAGTCGAACTGAAATTTATTATCAATCCATTCGTAACTAACGGTTTGGTAAAAATAACAATTTATTTTGATTGAACTAACTAAAATTGTTCCATTTACTTCAATTTTATTTTGATATCAATTATAAATATATATTGTTATTGCTTTCATACTTTATACAACTACAAATAGGACTCTTTTGTCGAATTTTCATCTCACTTCGGTTGCGAGATGTAAATCGAATAAACAACTAATTGTTTGTTAAATAAACTTGCATTGATTGCCAATATTAATCTCTTTTTTTTATTCCCTGACCATATACATTCACTTATTTTAAATGCTATTTTTTTATACAGTCCTAAAAATCATTTCGAAAACCAACTAGTACTTAACTAACTTAATCACATAATTAATTAGCCAAGACAATTGGCAAATATCACAAATCCTACCTAAAGAATAGACAAAGCATTAAATTTGTTTTGTACTTCATTTTCATTATATAATAAGAAGGGGGAATTGTTTATTATGCTAGGCAATTCTCTCAAAAAACAGAGGATTCACATTTCTATTTTTTTTTCTTTTGGTTGAGAAAATAGAGTAAAAAGATAACATGGTCTTTGACCTTTGGTAATGATAAATGTGGGCATGAACCGTTAAAACAAAAACAAAATAATCACATATTTTTGTATGTTTCGTAACGTTTGTGTTATTCAGAAACTGCAGCAACAGTTGCCCACTGACCCCTGTTATGCTTTAAAAAGCCAGGCCAGCCTGTTCTGCTTTAGACACGCATTAACTTGACTGAAACATTGCCTTTCACCAAATAAATAAAAATAAAGGACTGAAACATTAGATCGTATAAATGTTTTTCCAACATCCGTGGGGCCGGGCCTTAAATCTTTACGTCAATTTGTTTCTTTCAAAAGTTACCTAATCCTGTCCCAACAGACTGTACTGGACTTGTTATAGTTTTATCTTCTTTTGATATGGTTTTACTGTTACTTCAGTAATCAGTCCAGTCTCTTTATTTTTACTTACACGTTGAAAAATACTTCTCTTTATATATATATACACATATACAGGGGCCTGTAGTATTTTCCAATTTATTTTGGCATCTTTCAAGACCGGATTTATTACTTGTGAATTACGGCAGTACTAGAATATATTTAATTTTTTTAATTATTAAATATCATAAACTTAAAAACTCAAATTAATTTTTAGTTATTCTGTTATATGTGTATAAGACATACACAATTACCTAATAATTTTTTTACATATAAAAATATTTGAATTCGAAATGATTTTTTTAAATGATTAAAACTCGTTCTATTCAAATCAATTCTTTTGAGTAAAACAAATTTAGTCTTTGGTTGAATATTGAGTTGTTTATTCGAATTCGAAATTATTTGTTTAAATAATTAAAACTCTTCTTACTCAAGTTAATTTTTTTTTATAGAAAATATTTACCTTTTGATTGAACATTGAGCTGCTATCGTTCTAAATCAATTTAATCTTGTATTACTAATAAATAATTATAACTATTTATATATAAATAGTAGAAATTGAAGTTTAATGCTGATCAAACTAAAACAATTTTTTTTACTACTAGGCCCATTTTTTGGTATTTGGAAATACGATTTACACGCAATACTGTGTATCCAAATTGACATATATTTAAAAAAATTTGGCTAATTTACACTGAATCTAAAATTTAAGGTATTTCAAAAAATAAATATGCTATTTCTTCCAAGAAAAAAAAATTGAATGAAGAAACTTGAACATGGATGGTTCATACTGAATGAATTGTTTCGTTAGCATGGGAGACAACTCTGTAGATACATACTTAATCTGTAGAGTCAAAATTCTGTAATAAACTCCTTCCTTTATTTATGCTAATTTATGGGTTATGATGTATCACAGTGCAGTGTCACATACATCAGTGTTAAGGCCGGTGTGGGGGTTGACAAAGAGAAAGCTAAGATTTTGAGAAGACAGGAAAAGCTAGCTAGGTAGCTGCTATCAGAGGTTCTTTCAGTAGAACAAGTAAGAATGATAATAATATGTATAGGGCTTTCAATCTATCTTACCTACCCTCAAACGTGAAAACCGGAGCCACATGTGCTTGCTTTTGCTGCTTCTTCTTGTCTTCTATCCCTGTCACAGTCTCTCTGGATTAGCTGATTCCTAGCTTTCTTCTTTCCTTTCCATGAAATTTCATTAGAACAGTTCAGTTTCATGTTCGTAACAAACTGAACTAGGTCGAGTAAAAAAGTTCTTTGTGGTTCTCTCCTTTTTTGCCAACAGCAAAATAGGTCACAGTGACTGCTTCTCCATTAAATTGCAACTTATAGTAATCTGTAACTTAAAATCCATTCGAAAAAACTATGGTTTTTGTTATGATGGTAGCTATAGTTATTAAAAACTGTTTGTTAAATAAGATTCAAAATCCAAGACTTTATTTTGAAATTTCTGATTTTTGAATTCTAAATAGCTTTCAAAATAGTTTTTAAAATTTTACCAATATTTTTTGCAACGATTTTTAGATTAAAAAAAAAAGCCCTAAAATCGAGGGAAAAAAAAAACACAAACAAAAACTAATCGCCAAACAGGCACTTGGCATCATAGCTTGGGTAGACTAACAGAGCTAGATAGCTAGCTAGTCTCTTGAAGATGGATTGGAGACTAGTTTTACAGCAGCTAGAACAATATATTCCAACCAATAATTTATTTCTTCTGTTTGTGTTCACTGATTATTATTATTATTTTTTTTAACGAAAGTTTTTGCTGCCTCACAAAGTACATATTTTTAATTTGGTTTTGTTAATTTTCAAATCATGAAGGTATCATTTAATTTCCTTCTTGCAATGTGCTGTTTAAAAAATGTATAATTTAAGCTCATAAAAAAATTAATTTAAATATGGGGCTTCAATTAGAGTTTTTGTTACGTTGTATACAAGTTTGATTTTATTTTTTGTTCATGGGAAGATCTATAGGCTTTGAACCGGACAACAATCTGTTTTATTGAAAAAAATTACCAATTACGCCGCCGTTAAATTACCAATTTTTGCAATCTATAGGCTTATGCGTATATAAGTTTGTTTTAATTCAACATATTAGTAATTTCATGTATTAGTATTATTATTATTCAAGAATTTTCTTTGATTATATCAATAAATTATTTATTTATTAAAAAATAACTATCATTTATATATATATATAAAATAAAATTGTAGATATAAATACAGTTTATTAACATTTAGTTGGTAGGGTGCCTAGCAATAGCACCCCCAACAAGCTGAACTTTTTCTTTTTCTTTTTGGGTTTTTGAAAAACTTCCTATTCGTATTACCATTCTCATTCCCATGGGGTGGGATCTCAACGATGCTTTTAAGATGGATCTGCTTGAATCTTAGTACTCGTTTGAAAGAACTTTGCTCCAAAATTCTCTTGAAAAGAAGAGCCCCAAGCTCTTTTCTTTTCTTTCACAAAAAGGGACTAATTCAAGCGAACATGAACAGTCATTCTCTTTCGACGAACAGTGTGTAACCTCAGGAAAAAATGGCATCCTTCGTACATCAAGAAAAGCCTACCAACGATTTCGTCCTCGGATTAAGACCCCTCATGCTACTATGATACATCCACTTGGATTTCAGAGGCAGGACCCCCACCCCCTTCCTTTTTTACCCTCTCTTCAGTCTTCATACCTGACCCAATCCCAAAGACAATTCTCCATCTTTCTATCCTACTTGCCCACTCATTATGTATTTGTTCTGCGAGAGGGTCCCCAGTGGCATGCATTTTTATTTTTCTAAAATGCTTTTGCATTTGGACATCTATATGTTTTCGAAACCGTTTTTATTTTTCTGAAATGGATGTGATATTTTTCTAATTGTTTAATTGGAAACCAAAACATGTAATTAAGGAAAGAAAGACAAAAAAAAAAAACGATTTCAGACCATTATAACTAAGTTACACGAGTAACTAGTTAAACTAAAATTAGATCCGATCAATATAATCGAAATATATAAATTTCATGGAAGATATGTAAGAAAATGCCTTTGAATTTGGATATGTAAATTTTTTTAAAATATGTAGTTTCTATTTGTTTTTTCAAAACGTACGGATGTAATAATTTTTCTAATCTCTTAATCGAAAAACCAAAACATCTAACCAAAAAAATCAGTAATTTTGGCAAGTAACCAATTAAATTATAAAGTTAATAATTTAATATGTTTTTATATAATACCCTAGATGTTTCATATATTCATAAATTTTTAATTATATTTTCTTTATTTCTAAAAAATTATGAAATGTTTAATATGTCATTCTGACTAATTTTTTGACAATAAACAATTTTAGTTTATTTTATAATCAAAATATCCTTTATTGAAATAAAATAAAAAATATTTATTTAGCTATTTACACTAAAATGTACTCAGATGCAACGGGGGACCGACACAGTTGAGAATTGAGATATGCGAACAAGAAGGCATCACAGATGGACCCTTTAGCATAGTTTAAGCAAACAAGGTACTAAGAAAAAGGGGAAGCAAATATTACCTTTGCGTGGACTAGGGCCCTGGTTGCTGTGTAGACACCCGTATCCTGCGCTAAAGATTAGCTGATTCACATGACGACATCTTCTTTATTTTAATTTTCTGAAATGGTACGGACCACATGTTGCTCCCTCTATAAATACGTTCCATGAAGAAAGGCACCCCACCGTGTCCCAAACAAAACTTTGTTACCACCATAAGTTCTAGCTAGCTATTTCTTCCGAGGATTACTCACGCAGGTAATGGACTACTATTCTACTCTAAACCCTAGCTCATCTGGGTCATCTTCGGTACTCAAAAATGGCAAAGAGAAAAAGAAGGGTGGCAAGAAAAGCAATGGTGGGGTGAAGTTATCAACTGACCCACAAAGTGTGGCAGCAAGGGAAAGGAGGCATCGTATAAGCGACAGGTTCAAGATTTTGCAAAGCTTGGTTCCTGGTGGGACTAAGATGGACACAGTGTCCATGCTAGAGGAGGCCATTAATTATGTTAAGTTTTTAAAGAGTCAAATATCTCTCCACCAAACTATAATGAACTTTGTGGATGATGAACGATCTCTTGACCTTTATCTTCCTGTAGATTCTACTGCTCTTCCTACTGGGCAACCATCGTGCTTGGATGGCAACTTTGCACCGGCAGAAGTGCATCCTTCAACTTCACTACCATGCCCAGATTCTTACTTCGGAGCTAATGAAAATTACATGCATTATGATGCATTTGAGACTGATAGTAAGAATTTAGTACTTCCTCTTTAGTTCTTTTCTGTATGTGTATGGGCAAGCAAGCTTTGATTGTACGTAGTACGTGTAGTGTAGGGTGGTATCATAAACCTTTAGTATTTGTGGTAGTAATTAGTCTAAGGTTAGTGGTTGTATTGTTCTTAATGAATTTAATTAAGACGATTTCTGCAAGTGGTGTATGATTTTTTTATTACTAAATAGAGTTTTGTGCTGCCCACTTTAGTTAGCTGATCAAAGAATTAAGAGATCATACATATGTGCCAAGTGCTAGCACGTACCTTAGATAAAACTCAATATTGGACATCTTTTTGATAACTACCAGTCTTTTGCAGCTTTTCTTGGAGTGCTTCGTTACTATTAAAAATCACTCTCTTCCATCCTTGAATCTCTTGTAGTTTTCACAGTGTAAAATAATATTTTGGGTTAATTTAAATTTAGTCAAAAGTTTGAAGGGAAACCGGTTCTCCTTATCAAGTTTATAGAAATATTGGCATTCAAAAAGAAGTGGAACAAAGTTGGGTGATAGGTTCCCCAACCCTAAATCTATTAATTTGAAAATAAGTTTCTGAAATTTTAATTTCAAATTTGATTTTTCTTTAGTCGTTTTTTTATTTTTTATTTGTTAAAAATAATGATCTCATAAATAACTTAATGATGAAAATTATTCAATAAGATTTATTTGGGGCTTAAATTTTTTTTTTTTTACCATTTAAGTTATTCTTTTATTTTTTCTAATTTTTATATTTTTAATTTTTTTTTAAATATATATATACTTTATGAATTTTAAAAAATCTGGGATTTTTTTGGGGAATAGATTGAATTTTTTCTCAATACGTGTGTAAATTTCAGTTTAAAATATCAAGAATTGAATTTTTTTAAAAAAGAGTGGTGACAATTAGAAATCATAAGATGGACTAAATCTAATAAATAAATAAATTTCAGGGAAATTCAAATCTAAAATTAAAGAATTTAAAAATAATTTTTAATTTAACTAAAGTTAACTCATTTAACAACAAATAAAAAATCTCATCATCATAATGTTCTATAGTCTACTAATTAAGCTGTTTTATTCCAAGCCCATGTTAGAAAGTTTGGAAGGATTTTGAAGAAGAATAGAATTATGTAGTACTTAATTGCGTGTAGAAAATATCTTACATTGTCCTTAAGATGATTATTGCCCGCATTATAATGTCGTAGAGATTTTAGCAATTCATTTTTAGGATACAATTCATGCACACAAGGAACTATGAGCGGCATTCCTAAAATTCCTTCAAGAGAATATATCTTAAAGTTGTAAAGTTTTAGAAGGAAAAGAATTTTGAGAGGAGAAGAGGATTGTAAAGAAGATAATTGAAATTGTTACATGTCTGTACTTTTCTATTTATAGATTATCGACACTCTTTTATAATATACATGACTATTGAAATTACTGAATTAACGAGTTAAATTTTAACGAGTCATAATTCAATAGTTACAATCTAGTAGTCATAACTGTTGGATTCTAATAGTTATAATTGTTATGTTTGTTTGAAAGTCTGTTAATAAGTAACCAACTACAACGGAATATTAAAAACAAAATCAATTAAAATAATTATGAATTTTATGACATTAAGAAATAAAAATAAATTTCTTAATCACACACGTGCACGTGCACGTGCAAAATGCTAAGTGTTAGTCTTTGATTATATAAAAATAAATTAGCTTAGTTTTTCCTCTAATTCCTTCAATCAAATATTTGAAAGTTTTACTAGAGGTCCACTTTATAAGTCGCCTCTTCTTTCCATTCCTTTCCAATATGGGATAAAAATCCCATTTGAAAAAACTTTCAAATTTCCTTCATAGTAAACTTTAATTTATTATCTAACATTCTTAAGATTTCTAACAATCCCCTACTTAGATAATAATATTAAGTCCTTATAGTATCATGCATAAAAACAAGATGTCTCTCGACTTGAATCTCCTTTTAATGTAAATATCTCAAAGTTTTAATGCAATAAATGGTATTTTAAGCGATTAAACCCATATCCTTTTGTACTAAAACTGAAAATACCACACACGTGATCTAGTTTAACTTATTTTATAAATTCTCAAAAATTCTTTTAGCACTTATATAGCCATTGTTACATCCTAGATTTTCATAAATATTTACAAAAGTCGACCTTTGAACTTTTGTTAGGAGCGGCACCACTTCTTATGTTTATATAAGTGAAGTTCTTATTACGTCCTAAATATAATAGTCATATTTCATAACTTAATCCTCATTAAAATTTTATAACTTATCCTCCAAACTTTATTAGTACTAGATAACTTGGAATGGAAACATAAGTAAAATATCCTAATACTTCTACAACCACTTATCGGTAACTTGTTTTTACCAATTGAACTTTAGACTAGTGATAATACTGGAGAAAAATTGGGTTTTTATTACCGATGACTCTAGGAGAAAGGTTTTAAACTCATTCTAATTGAAGTTTCCTTTACTAAATCTTTAGTAAGCCCCTTAGTAAACGGATCCACCAAGTTATTACTTGTTTTTACACATAAGATTCTAATAATTCATTCAAAAATTAGTTGTTTGATATATTTATGTCTCAAGCTTATATGTTTAGATTTTCTATTGTATATCTTGATAAAAGCCTTAGACATGGTAGCTTCACTATCACGAGTATAAAGAAACGATTGGCATCGATTGTGGCCATAATCTATTTTTAGCAATAAATTCCTCAATCATTCTACCTCTTTTCTTGCAGCTGCTAGTGCAACAAACTCGGATTCCATAGTGGAATGAGATATACACGTTTGTTTCTTAGAAGCCTATGAGATAGCTTCTCCATTAAAAGTGAATGTCTAACAAGACGTAGACTTGTTATCTTTAGCACTTGTTATCCAATTAACATCATTGTATCCCTTCAATACTAATGGATAACCCTTATAAGATAGTTCTAAACTTAAAGTTTTTTTAAGATAACCAAGAACTCTAGAAAATTGCTTTCCAATTATCAACATTAGGATTAGTAGTGTCTCTTGAAAGCTTATAAACTGCAAAGAAAATGTTTGGCCTAGTGCAATGCATGACATATATTAAACTATCAATTACACTAGCATACTTAATTTGAATAATTGCTCTCTCATAATTTTTCATTAACTTACGTGAATTTTCATATGGGGTGCTTACCTCTTTAATTCTCAAATGTTGATTCTTATTTATGATTTTCTCTACGTAATGGGATTGACACAAAGCATAAACTCCACTAGTTTCCTTCACTTTGATTCCTAATATAGTATCTACCTCTCATAGATTTTTCATATTAAATTGTGAGGATAAGAAGCTGCTTTATTTCATTCACACTATCAATAGTTATCCCAAATATAAGCATATCATCAACATATAAACATACAATCACACCATAATCTTTTATAAATTTAGAATAAATACATTTATTTGTACTATTATGCTTAAATCTATGAGACGAGTATAATAGAATCAATTTTTTCATGCCATTATTTTGGTGTTTGTTTTAAACCATACAATGATTTAACCAGGTTGCATACTTTATTTTCATTTTCGAGCAATATAAATCCTTCGGGTTGTTCCATATATACTTCTTCATCTAAGCCACCATTCAAGAAGGTCTGTCTTAACATCCATTTGATGCATAATCGGATTATGAATAGAAGCTAGAGCAAATAGTACTCTAATAGATGTTATCTTAGCCATTGGTGCATTTGTGTCAAAATAATCAATATCTTCCTTTTGCCAAAATCCTCTTGCCATTAATCTAGGCTTAAATGTTTGCAATGATCCATCGGTGTTGTACTTTCTACAAAATACCCATTTACAACCTATAAGTTTTGAACCGGGAGGTCAATCCAATAACTCCCATGTATTATTGAATAATATTGAGTCAATTTTGTCATTGATTATCTCCTTTCGAGTGCTATATCTTTTGATGTCATAACTTCTCTATATATTTTAGGATCTTCTTCTATATTTAATAAAATAAGCATTTTATTAAGTACGGATTTTCTATCGTCTTCAACTAAGAAGACAATAGATCGTTAATCAATGAAATCTGAATTCAAGTTCTTTTCTTTGTTAATCCTTTAACTTCTCCTAGGTTCACTTAAGAGTATCATGAGTTTTTCTCTTACCATTAGATAGTAAACTTGAATCAATTTGTTCATGTGTTTGTTTAGTAGTATTAAAATCATTGACGAATTGATGTTCAATAAATTCAACTTTCAACTATCATATTAGATTCTAAATCCAATAATCTATATGCCTTGGAGTGTTGCTACAAACACACTTTTTAGAGCCCTTGATCTTAACTTGGCTCATTTAGGATTCATGACTCTATAAAAAGCTAGACATCCCAAACTCTCAAATAATTTAGATTTGGTTTTCTTCCTTTCTATAATTCATGTGGAGAGACTTTAAATTTTTTTAAATGTATTCTATTATGCACATGTCATCTTGTTAACAATGCTTCGCCCTATAGATAAGTTAGCATTCAAAATCATAGCATTCACCCTATTAACCAATGTTCTATTCTTTCTTTCGACCAAACCATTTTGTTGTGGGGGTATATGGTGCACTCATTTCATGTATAATGTAATTAGCCTCACAAAAAAAAAAAAAAATTCGAGTAGAAAAATAGTCACCACCTCTATCACTTTTTAAAATTTTAATCTTTTTTTCTTTTTGATTTTTAACTTCAGATTTATAACACATAAACATATTAAAAACTTGATCTTTAGTTTTTATTAAGTACATATAATTGTATCTAGAATGATCATTAATGAAAATAATAAAATACCTACTTTCTCCTCTAGTTAAAATTCTATTTAATTCATATATATCGGAATGAACAAGTTCTAATAATTTAGAAGATCTTTCAACTAAAGAAAAAGGTTTCTTAGTCATCTTTGATTGTATACAAATCTCACACTTTTCATTACTGGTATTATTGCAAGAGATTACATCATATTTTGACATATATTTAATAGAACCAAAATTAACATATGCTAATCTACCATGCCATAAGTGAAAAGAAGAAGAGTAAATAATATAAGCGAAAACATTCATTTTATTGATAATACTAAGTTTGAACATGCCATCACAAGAGTATTCTTTATTTACAAATGCACCATTCTTAGAAAATATAACTTTGTCGGACTCCAAAACGACTTTAATCCCCTTCTTACATAACAGATTAACATATACGAATTCTTCTTAATTTTAGAAACATAGAGAACATTGACCTATATTAAATTTCTCCTAGAAGTAAATGATATTTCAATAGTAACTTTGCTAAAAACCTTTGCGGTGTCCTTATTTTCCATCATTACTTCGTAACCTTCAATGGCCTTCTCAAAGGTCTTGGATTGAGTTTTTTCGTTGCACATATGAACGATGGCACCGTAATCATACCACTAATCAAGGGTCTTGGTTATAGAAGCCATGTTTAATTCTATAATCATGCCAATGTGCGAGTTAGAAATCATTGTAACAAGTGCATCGGTTTCTTTCTCCACCATACTTATAGCATTGACATTCTCTATCCTTTGCTTTTTCAAGTATCGAGAATCCCATTTGAAATGGCTTTTCTTTCCACCATAATCATAAGACTTATTGGTCTTATTTTTCGTTGCATTGGAGCTTGAGAATTCTTGATGTTTTCTTTTCTTTCTTCCGAACTATCTCCAAAATACTTATTTCCTCCCGAATTTGACTTCTTTTCATTCACATAATTCACTTTAAAAATAGTTTCATAATTCTTTTTTTGTATGTTTTGAGTCTCTTCTTCAATTCGAAGATGTTTTTCAACTTCGTTTCAAAGTAAAGTCTTTCGTGGTATGAAGTTTTTTTTTTTCTATAATCATTCCAAGTACGAGGTAATTTTGCAATTATAACCCCTACGTGGAGTGATTCGGAAATCTAAACTTTCAACTCTTTTAGTTTCGATATCATAACGGATAAATCATGTACTTGATCCATAACGGATAAATTATTAATTATTTTAATACCCTTTATTTTTCAGCATTGTATTTGAATTCTAGAGCTTTTCGATTTTTTTCGGGGATGGAGTATCGATGAAAAGATCATATAATCGATTTGATAGTGTGTTGATCATATGGCCTCTCGCATAGTAATTCATCACCGACACGTTTCTTTTGTTCCACCTTGAGTTATTCGGAATCGTCATCATTTGGTTTTGGAAGATCAACACATAAGCAATCTTCGGTGCAGTAAGCATGAACTTCAATTTGTTCTTCCATTGCCTAAAATTTATTCCATCAAAACGATCTAGTTTCACCATATTTTGATCCATAACTTGAAACGAACTTTCTGCTCTTGCTTTCATCTTTCACGGAATAATCACCTTAAGATTATTGAAAAGTTTAGAACGATCTTGAAGAATAACGGAATTATGTACTTGTTTAATTGTATGTAAAAAATACCTTACATCGTCATTAAGATGATTATTGCCTCCATCGAATGCTATAAGGATTTTAACAATTCATCTCTAAGATACAATTCACTCACATAAAAAACTATAGACAACACTTCGAAATGCTTTCAAGAGAATATCTCTTAAAGTTGTAGAGTTTTAGAAGGAAAAGAATTTTGAGAGGAGAGGAGGATTGCAAAGAAAATAAATTAAAATTATCTCGTGCGGTAATCCCCTATTTATAGATTATTGACACTCTTTCATAACATACGTGATCGTTGAAATTAATTGAATTAATAATTAAATTCTAACAATGATAATCCAACAGTTATAATTATTATGTTTGTCCGAAAACCGTTAATAAGTAACTAATCGCAATGAGAAAATTAAAAACGTAATTAATTAAAATAATCATGAATTTAATTACATTAAGAAATAAAAATAAATTTCTTAATCACACACTCACACATATAAAGTGCTAAGTGTTAGTCTTTTATTATTTAAATATATTTATATATATAATTCCAACTAATTAGCTTAGTTTTCTCTTCAATTCTTTCAATCAAATATTTAAAAGTTTTACTAGAGGTCCACTTTATAAGTTGTCTCTTCTTTCCATTTCTTTCCAATGTGAGGTAAAAATCTCACTTGAAAACACTTTTAAATTTCCTTCATAGTACACTTTAACTTATTATCTAACATTCCCAGTATTTCTAATGACCATGTTTAGGCAATATGCTAGAGAGAGGCTCAATCCCAATACCGACCATACCCGCTATCTATGCCGATCAAGTAATCGTTATATGTATAAGATCAACAATTCTTATGGTATAGCATGTACAAAAATCTTATTTTTGATAATTAATATAAATCAAATCTATTTGTTGAGCTAAACTATTTTATTTACATGCATTTGTTAACAAGTTAATCAATAATATTAACATAAAAAGTTATATTTGAATAGTTGGAAGATTCTTTCAAAATATTATTTCAATTATTTTATATGAAAAATATTGATTTTAGAACAATAAATAAATAAATAAATAACAAATAATTGGTGTTGTGTGTAGAGATAAATAGTTAATTTCTAACAAAATTAATGAATCAAGTATATACACACACTTTATGATCATACTTATCGGATTCGAATATATATCATAAATATAAAAATATTAAAAAATCATCTAAATTGTATGAAATATATTGAAGTAAATAGATTGAAATAAAAACTACTACAAAATTGATTCTAATAAATTTGATTAAATATAAAAAACAAATAAAATCAGTTAATTATATTTTTAATCGATTATTTAAATATTTTTTAAAACATTAAGTCAAATTATCTAAAACACACTTTTAGCTTTATATATATATATATGCAATTACACTAATTTCGTTTAAAAATCATATACATTTCATCATCGTTAAGTCGTGTAGGAAAAACAAAAAATAACATTCAATCTTAATTTTTAATTGATTATTTAAATATTTTTTAAAAAAATTGAGTCAAATTATCTAAAATATACTTATATATGTATACACACACACACACACACACACACACACACACACACGATTACACTAATATCGTTTAAAAATCATATACATTTCATCATCATCAAGTCGCGTAGGAAACACAAAAAATAAAATTCAATCTTCCATAATTTTTACCTCAAATCCATAATTAAAAAAAATAATTAAATTATTGAAAAAATAAGCAAAAAACGTGTGTGCCTCCTCTTTTAGTTTATTGTATAAGTTTTGTGATTATATCATGATTGCTACTTTCAAGAAATATATATGCTAACACAACCTTGAAATAACACATCAAGTTTTCATTGGTCATTTATTAGAATTTTAAAATTAATGATATATAGCAGTATACCAATATGATATTTGTTAAAAAGAAAAAAATAAATTGTAAATTAGTCCATCTCGTTATGAGAAATGAATTAATTAGTTTTTTTAGTTTAAAAACTAATTACTTAATCCTTTTAACCATTGTTGATCGAACTAATTTTTTTTTATAAAGTATCTTTTATTCTCATCAGTATGTTCATATTTTTTTATTTATTTGCTATTTCTTAAAGAGCAAATCAAAATAAATTAAAAAATAAAAAAATAAAAAATTAATTTTTAAACTAGAAGGATTAATTAATTCGTTCTCAAAGAGAAAGAGAGTAATTTATAATTTACTCTTGAATACCAAGATGGTCCTTTCGAAATTAAGGGTAAAAAAGCAATGGAAGACAGAGCATTAAAGGCTCATGTGACAAGTAAAGTAAATGAGGAAGGCTGACCGATAAAAAAAAGAAATAAGATAAAAAGGAGTCCGAAGAGAAACAAATATGCCTTCAAGAACAAAAAGGTAAATCAATAGAGAAAGAAACTGACAAAAGAGAAATTAAGAAGAACTCTGAGTGGCAGAAATCAAGCAACACACACGAGTCACATGAGTCATGAACGGATGAGATGAAAAAAAACTCCAAAGAGTACACATGAGTCACCATGAATATGATTTTGTATCAAAAGCTACACTAAATGAATAGAACTCATCTCAGTTCTTTTAGTTCCTTTGCATGTAAAAATAAAAGCTATGATTTGGACACTAATTTGAAGTTTATCCTAAAATTTTATAGTATATTTTAACTCTTTATTTATTTTATTTTATTTTTGGGTTGCAACAATAAGGATAAGCATTTTTATAATTTTAAATATTCACGGTTATTTTTTTTAAATAAATTAATATATGTATCGTTGTTGCTTGGGTTCAACCACTGAAGCCCATCAGATCCATTTAAGCGCAATGGAATCTGAGAGCAATACGAAAAATTAAAAGACATCTATGGCTATATAGACTTTGGGCCACCTTTCTTTTTGAAAATGGAGGAGGAAATTCAGATGTGTACTCAGAAGTTGAGGAAAAACAATCCCACTCGCACCTTGTAAGAAGAATAGCATTTTATTCGAGATAAATGGATAGCAAGCTAGTTGTGGATTCTTGGTGATTTAGTTTGATGCAAAATCAGTTCTTGCTATTGTTCAGAACTCAGGTACCTGAAATTTTCCATCTAATAATCACTTTGCTATGTTATTTGTTAGTCTCCAACTTGTTCGATAAAATTCCTCAATGAGTTTAACCCAACAACAAAATTGCATCTTTCAGCTTTACATTCTCATCATCCTGCACAGCATGCTCTCTGTATTATATACAACTTACAAAACAATAAAACAAGAAAGAAAGGAGGAAACAGAACATACAATGTTCTTGTCTCTCAAAATGGCGAAAAAGAAGAGAAGGAAGACGAACCGGAAGATACTGGTAGTGACTGATAACAAACACATTTTGGGTCATGGATGACCTTTTTAATGGTGATGTCAAATTTTGAGCAAAACACGCAGTACCTCCCTCCAAAATGATCTTCATCATCGTCTTCCACTTCATCATCATCAACATCTGTGTCATCTTCTTCTTCAGAAGTTTCTTCGGGCTCAATCCGCCAGTCACCTCTTGCGTAGTATCTGAATCCCAACATTGGAAGAAGCACCAGAAGGATTTTATCTACGCGATCGTCATGCCATTTATTTATTTTCTTGCAGAACAAGAGAGGTGCCACCACAATTCCTGATCCTAGTCCGAACCCCAGTCCAGTGACTATGAACTGCCAATCAAATTCTTTCCTTTGGTATCTTTTCCCTGCAGAATTTGATCCACCGGAATTGAGATTTGAGCATGGTGGCAAAGGAGACCCACATAATCCTTGGTTACCTCCGAAGGAATCAGGTGAAAATGACTGCAGTTGAGTGCTTATGGGGATCATTCCCACTAGCCTGTTACACGAGAGATTCAGGACTGCAAGGAATGTTAGGCTTGAAAGCTGCTGAGGTATTACTCCAGAGAGATTGTTAGATGCGAGGTCTAAGGACTCTAGCTGTGACAAGTTGCCTAAAGATGATGGAATTTGGCCAGTAAGTGCATTATGTGACAAGTTGAGAACATAGAGTGCATGGAATTTTCCTATGACATCTGGTATTGGGCCTTCAAAGTTGTTGTTTGAGAAGTCAGCAGACGTAAAGATAATTAATATCTTCACCAGCTCCAGCTCAAGACCCTTCATGGTGACTGTTATTGAATCCTGATAATACAGTCCAGCAGTCAGCCTTAGGGGCTCAAATTTTATGTGACCACGGGTTCCATTTCCATCTCCCATCATTCCTGCCCAGGTTTTCAAGCAAATTTGAGGTAGATTTCCTGTAAAATTGTTGAATGCTATGTCGACAATCTGAAGCTTTGGCCAAGTGCCATTGATTTGTGGACATCCAATATGCCCATGGAACTTGTTGTGTCGTAGAACAAGGACAAGAAAACTCGATATGCTCTTAAGAAGACAGGGGAATGTGTCATTGATTTGATTGTTCCCAAGGTCTAAAACCTCTAACGAGGTGCATTTGGCCAAAGATTTTGGAACCTGCCCTTGTAAACTATTTCCACTCAGATCTAGAGTCTTCAATACACAGGTGCTTGGAAATTTATTAGGGATATTGCCACTGAAGTTATTCCGCCTTAAATTTAGAACACCAAGAGTCTCAATCTTCTCAATCAAACAGTCCCACATGATGCCACTCAAGCTGTTGTTAGACAAGTCAAGAACTTGTAGCCACCTGGCAGTGCATATTGACTGCGGTATCACACCTGTAAGTTTATTGTTTGAAAGGGAAAAGAAGAAGGTAAAGTTGAGGTAATTACCAATGTCATGGGGAATGGAGGAAGTGAAATTATTGCTCGAGTAATCCACATAGGTAATAAATCGTGGAGGAACTGGAATGCTTCCTTGAAGCTGGTTAGAATGCAGGTCTAAGACACTAAGACTAGGAAGAGACAAAGGTTTCTCTAGACCAACTAGGAGATTGCGTGAAAGATTTAGATATTGAAGAACATCAAGAGCTGAAATCCAACCAGGTAGCAGCCCAGTAATTTGGTTGTCTGAAAGGTCTAAATGGAATAGGTTTGATTGGTTACTGAGATCTGGAAACATTCTCAGATTGCAAGAAGCCAATCTTAGTTTTTTGATTTGGGCAAGGGAAGACTCGGTGGAATTGCTGCCAGCTGCATTCACAGTCAAGTTGTTGTATGAGAGGTCAAGTGTAGTGAGATCAGGAAGTGTCTGAATCCAATGTAATTGCATCGTGCCATTGAGCTTATTTGATGGAAGTTCAAGGACATTGAGTTTTGCAAGACCGAAGACAGAACTGGGAATAGCCCCTTCTAATTTGTTGCTACTCAAATCCAGGGTATCCAAAAGAGAGGAAGACGCATTTGGAAACTCAGGGATCTGACCTCCAAATCGGTTGTTTGAAAGCTGCATCTTCTGCAGTGATGGGATTGCAAACAGTGACAAGGGGATGCTCCCATTGAATTTATTGTACCCTAAATCAACAAAGGCGAGATTCAGAAGGCCTTCCCAGTGACTTGATGGAATCTCACCTGTTAGTTGATTGCGAGACAGGTCTACATGGGTAAGGTTCTTGGACATGCGGAATGATGGGATTGGACCAGTGAACATATTTGATGACAAGTCCAGGTAAAACAGCTGGGTGAGATTTGCTATTGAATTTGGAATTGGTCCAGCAAAATTGTGATTCGCTAGCTCTATTCTGGATAATTTCCCAAGATTACCAATGGATTGTGGTAATCTCCCTGAAAAACTTGTGTCACTGAGCATCAGCGTCTGAAGAGAGAGATTTTGACGAAACTCTGGAAAAGAACCCCGAAGGAATTTGTTGAATGATAAGTCAAGAATCTCTAGTGTCGGTACCTGGAATATAGTTTGTGGAAATATTCCGTTCAACTCGCAAAAGCTAAGCTGCAAGGCTATCAATTTCGAGTAATTTGCAAAGAATTCTGGAACTGGAGCAGACAAATTATTACTGCTCAAACGAATTATTGAAAGAGACTGAAGCTTTGCAAGGGAAGCATCAATAGGTCCTGAAAGAAAGCAGTTGGACATGCTCAGCACTTTGAGATTAGGCAATGAAGAGGATAAGGCCTGGCACCAGTCTTTGCCATGTGCTGATATAGTTACGCCATCAAGATGGAGCTCTGTTAGCTGTGTGAGATTTTGAACCAGTGTTGCAAGATTAGGCTTCTCAAGTTTCAGTGAAAGCACTCCAGGGAAGTAAAGGGTAGACAAATCAAGACTAACCAACCTTGTCAGCTTCGAAATCTCAATTGGAATTTGGCCTACAAAGCCAGCATTGGACAAATTCAGTGAAACCAAATCCTTGAGGTTGGCAAACCTGACTGGCAGAGTTGTGTTGAAGTTGTTGAAAGATAAATTTAGACTCCGGAGAAATTGCAGATTGAAAAGCTCCCTTGAATTGTCAAGTCCACCACTGATTGATTTATTGCTCAAATCCAGGCCGACAACACGACCAAGACCACCCTCATCACAAGTTATACCATCCCAATCACAGCAATCCGTGCTTGAAGTCCAATTCGCCAGTTCTTCAGATGGAGATTGATCAAACGTGAGACTTTTCTTTAATTGCAATAACAATGATCGCTGATCACTCTGGCACTGGCCAGAAACCAAAACTACATGGACACCAAAGACTATTGTCCAAAAGGCTATCAAGAAAAGCCATGTAGAGAGTGGAATTTTCATTTGCAGACAATTACGAGACTCCCATGTAACTGAAAACGGAAGAGCTTATCAATCTGGTTGTTGGTGTAGGAAATGAAAGAAACATGAACTTGACCGCCCTTTTAGGTTGTTGGCTTCAAGTCTTTGCCAAGTTAAATATAATCAGGTTTTGCAAGGGAGGGTGATCGAAAGTGTAGAATGGGAGGCCAAAGAAGAAGAAGAAGAAGAAGCAAAAAGGGTTGGTAACTTGGAAGAGAAACGGGAAGAGTCAGCAATAAAACTTCGTCAAAGTAAACTCTGTGTGTTTGTAGGCAAAATGGTAAGTTCCTGGATTGAGAAATGAATGTTATTGGACGCGTTTTTTTGTCGGCTTTAATATATTTGTTTGCTTGTAGACTTCCGCGTGTAGCTTCTGGTCTTAAAACCTCTAAATCAAAGGATGACTTCGGCTTCTTCTCTCTCTCTCTCTCTCTCTTTAATACTATTAGCTAATTAATTAGAATATATAGATATAAAGGTTGTGGTTGATGGCAGGAAGTCATATTCCCTTAAATTATGGTAAAAACTTAACTTTTCTGACCTTTTTTTCGTCTTTTTGAAATTAACTTTTGTAGCTTGTTAGTGGTAAATTCACACATACCTTTTGTTGCTACCATAACTTGAAGGAATGTTTTCTCCACTCAAAAAAGAAAGGAAAAGAAAATTAAAAATTGAAGTTATGAATGGCGTCGTCTGTATAAAAGAGTGCAATATTATGTTTGGACTTCCGTAATTCCGATTTTTGTAGAAACTAAGTTATTTTTGTTATTTTACATAATTTTGTTCAAAATAAAACAACAAAGTCACGGGAAAATACGATAAACTCAAGTTCTTGTAGAATTGATGGAAAGTGCCGAGTCCATATGTTTTATTTTTCTTTTTCTTTTTTTGGTTTTTCATTGCCAGTTTCTCTCCACAGCAGGCCGACAAATAGGAGTAATTACCTGTTACTTTGAGGTAACGTTTAAGACCCAAGAGAGAGAGAGAGAGAAGGTGCAGGCAGCCGAACCAAATTGATTTTTAGGTAAAAAACCAATTACTTAATAGCAGATCCTCCATTTTGAAAGGAAATGGTGGTTGCATTCTAAACGTTGCTTGAGAATGAAAAGAAAGAAAACCGTGGGTTGGTATTTCACCAATCACCACTCGGTAGGAAATGAAAAAACCAAGACACATTAAATGAATGTCATATATACATATTTACCTGATTTTTTTTCCTTCTGCGGATGGTGGTGAATTTTCGGATTATTTTCGTATCAAACTAAATTCATCAATTTTCGATATAAATTATCAGAATATGTTTAATTTTTGATCGATTATTAAAATAGTCAAAACAACTCAAATATGATATATCTAAAAAATAATTATAACTAATTATACGTAAATAATAAGAATTGAATATTGATTTTGATCTAACGACAACAACCTATTTATTGCTAAACTATGTCCCTTGATAATGAAATGATGTTTCGAGTATAATCGAATTTAAATTTTATTTTTAAATAATTTTAAAAACATATTAAATATTAACTTCAAAAGAACAAATTCTCACAACGTTTCCATAACATATGAATTCTGGATGTAACATACATTAGTGTGCATTAATTCTGGTGTTGTTTAGTCTCTTTCAAGGTGAGAAAAGTATAAAACAAAACTAACTAATAAAATAGTGTGAAAGGGAAACCATTGACAAACTGAGCACCAACGGACCCCTATAGAGACTGAGGAGGTCATCTCTGTCTGCCCTGCCATTTTCATCATGTGTAACCCTAGACTTTTTAGGCGACTTCAAGTGAATGCCATAAAATAAATGACAAAGAAGAGGTAATATAGAATTTTTTTTTTTTTTTTTGTCTTGTTCTTATGAATTTTGTAATTTTATTTTTTACAAAATAAAAAATAAAATAATAGTGCAATCATTCAATTTTAATTACATAAAATCAATGTGACAAATGTATTTTTAAAATTATTTTTAAAAAAATTATTTTTGATTAACATGTAAATTAATTTGATAATGTTTTTACCGTGTAATTAAAAACAAAAGTCCATTAATCCCCACCATATAATCATATAAAAATTCTTTTTTTAATTCATAAAACGGATATATAGATAAATTAATCACACATCCATCGAGTAACACCATGCCTTTCACACCCACACAAGTGACTAATTAACAGTTCATAATTTGTTTATGACACTTCGAATTTGCCCACAATTTTTTTTTCCGGGTAGTGACCAAACTGCAACAAAAGTAGATAAGAGAACCTGATAAAACTTTTAGTGGATGCCAAACAAGTCACAGCCAATGACCAAGTCAATAAAAGTAGATAGCCATTTGCAAACCAAACTCATGTAAGACTAAGACATGGGAACGACTCCATCATGGGACCCTTCATTACACAAGTGGAATCATATGACTCTTCCTAAGGAGACCCTACCCACTTTGTCACCTTTGGTATTTGGAAACCCTGGATGGTTTTATGGCTTTCAGGACTTTTCTGCTAGCTCCTAATGTTGCCATAGGCAGTTTCCTTGACTCAAGGCAAATTAATTACCTCAGCTTATCTAACTTTTCAAAAGATAAAATTTTTCTGAATATCTCAAATCACATGATAAAAGTAGATTTTGAGAAAATTGATTACTTTTCGATGTTTTGAATATGTCATAGAAAATGAGTTCGAAGAATTCAAAACATGTCGAAAATGAGTTAGAAAACATTTTTCGGTGTTCAATGGAGTCATGGAAAACTAAATAAAAAATTACTTATTGGTCTTATAATTATTATTTTTTTAAAGAGTATATATGACTAGCACATGATAAGTGCTTATTTTTGCCTTTTTCATTCTTTGTTTTACCATTTCTACAAGGTAATTAACTTAAAAACTTAAATATGATAAAATAAGTAATTAGTCCTTTTGTTCTGAAAAACCTAGTATAATCAAGTCTCTATGTTTTCATATTAATTGTAACTCAGTTATTTTGTTGGTTTTTCAATTAAATTATTTATGTGCTTAAAATATCCTTCATTTGTAATCAAATTTTCCAATTTTACCTACAACAGACAAAATTAAAAAGAGATTTTAAAAAAAGCAATTTAGGAATTTCAAAAAAAAATTACAGCCAGCCTTTGTCAAGAGACTAACATAAGCTTTTAAAAAATAGAGGGACAAACTTATAAAATTATCATAAAATACAAGGACTAAATTATAATTTATTCAACAAATAACAATTTGAGCCATGAAGGAAAAGTATTTTCCAGAATTTTTAAGTTGTCTGGAAAATGGTTTCCTTTGCCCATTTTCCTAAGTTGCACCAAACATGGGAAAACTTGAAACCACAACCACTTTCCATGAAACAAACAAGGCCTGAATCTTTTCCCAGTCAGTTTTAATTAAGCCATTCATTTTCGAACTCATACATTTATGAAAAATTACTTCCTTGAAGCCATTCCTATATATGTTTCGAGCTCTTGATGATGATGCAATCTACTTTCTAGAATTGAACTGTTTTAGTGATTTCATTACCAGAAACATAGCATGCAAGGATCTATTCCATGGGAAATAAGAAATGCTCTTATGAAATGATATATTAATGTCTTGGAATTATGATTCAAAGTCCCAAATACAGGAAATCTATGTACTAATGGAATTCTACCAAAGTGGGGAAATTGATCTTGAAGTCCCACTTAATTTTGAAAGAAAGAAAACTAGATAACCCCTGCCAGTGGGGCAGAAAACTGATCTTGAAGTCCCACTTAATTTGTCGGCCATAACCTTATGGATTCACACACTTCCTCCTCCTAGAGGACCGTTAGTGATCATCACCGTGGGGCTGCAGGGTCTTTACGAATTTCTAGTTGTTAGCATCAATATTGGAAGACTTTTATTTCCACATAGAAACATGCATTGCCTTGTTACTCGATCGTCTTGACCTTATTTATCGGAGGTAGAAAGGATGGAAGGCCAGAAGAAATGGCATTTGCCCGTTTGATATTGCAGTCCAATGCAGTTAGAATAACTAAACGCACACTAACTTTAGAGTACTCGTGGAATATTATTGTGAAGCCTACACGAATAAACATCAGCGAGACTTGAAGGATCCATGCGGAGGGAAAGATTGTGAGCCTATTAGGTTGGTGAAAAGTCCACAAATCTATGCACTATAGTCCATGTTACACTAAATTTCTGTGGAAATTTTGTGCTCCTGATTGTCAGAAAAAGCCAACATCTTTGACCATAAGACTCAGAAAAAGGGAGGCTTAGTTATGGTATTGGTCCCGGTCTCCTTGCACTGTCTTCATCAGTCAAGAAGGCTTTTCGTCCTTTTCCTACCTACCTCCCAACTAAACGTTTCCTACTTTTCAGGTTGATAAAAAAGTGTTACCAATGAATTCTTATTCTTGGAATAGATTCTGTATAAAAGCTGCAATTATCTCGCAATCAAAACTAGATGAAAGTTCTACACATATATATTCAAAGTAAGGAAGGATAATTGAAATTTAAAAAGATCAAAAAGAAATTAGGATGATTAAAAAAGCTGTAGTAAATCAAGAGATTAAACCAAGCAGATTGGTTAAAGTTTTAAACTAGAAAAACCTATTAAACTACAAAAGCTGTAAAGAAAAATAAATTAAGATGGAGAACTTGAAAGATAAATTGCTAAAATTTTTGGGTTATGGGCTGGCCTATATATATATATATATATAAGATTTCTTTATTTGTAAAGAATATTAAACCGAATCATATAAGTAAACTTAGAGAATAAGTTAGACTAAAGAGAACAAATTTTGTTAGAATAGTATTTTCTAATTAAACAATGAAGGACAATCTAATTAAAGTATTATTGCGTATCACAAGAAATATTTCTGTCAGAATTTTTTGCTGGAAGCCATTAATGCGGATTCCCGGTCTTCACTTCCTTTTCCCTTTCTAAATTGGGCATCTTCATTGCATTGCTTAGTCCCTCATCTTTCTTGAAGTGTC